AGACCGGCATATGTGTACTAAACTAAACTAAACTACTACTAAATTCTAAACTAACTAAATTAGTTTTAGTTAGTGTAGAACTAAATTCTACCTTCAAAAAGCGTGAATTCTGTCTCTAAGAGTCCCCTAAAAACCTTCTGGATTGCAACACTGAGAAGAGGGTCAGCTCTGCTGACATGAACAGCAGTACTGGGACTAAGTGTCTAATTTGGAAATGGTTCAGCTGTGGCTAAACTTGTGTATGAGCCTACTGCTGGCAGTCGTTGTGTTTCTACTATCTGCTGCTATGTCAGACATTTTGGAAGGGTCCTATATGAAGATGGTTTTCCGGGGTTGGTGCACTGTTGGATAGCTACCTCAGTTTTGGTGGTGGTGACGACCTCCTGATCAGGATCCTGGTCCAGGTTGATAGGCTGGGTCTTCTGCATGGACTGCTGAGTCCCTGGACCTCGGTTCAGAAACCTGGTCCTGCCTTGCAGAGAGGGGCCTGGTGGAGCATTAGAAGGAGAATAATTAGCCACAACTGACTTCAATATATCAATGCATAGTGTTAAAGCTGCAGTAGGACTCTTTTATAAAAATAACTTTCTGTCATATTTGCTGAAACTTTCATTATATCCTGACAGTAGTACATGAGACAGATAATCTTGTGAAAAAAATCAGGTTCCTCTGACTCCCCCTAGTGCTCCTAATGTTATTTGCAAGAATCCACCAGGCCTGATCGAAAACAACCAATGAGAGGTGAGAAAGATAGAAAGACGCTTTAGGTTAATTGTTTCACAGATTATCTGTCTCATACTACTGTTCAGCAAATGTGAAAAAGTTAAAAATGACCTACTGAAGCCTTAAGCCATCATGGCAGCAAAGCTGATTTTGCGCAATTTAACACGTGGTCTAACTCTTGTGTTATGGCAGGTTAACAGGGTATTACAATCATTGTAATGGGTTAAGGTTAGGCTTAGACACACATCTTCCTCACATTCTCCCTGTCCTGGTGAAACCGATATTTAAGAGTTGACAGAAACTTAAAGGCATGTTAACACCAACACTTTAAGGGGCAAACTTGTTGAAGGAGCCAGAGAGTGGCTGTACTTGTTTAAAGAGGTGTTCATGGCTTATTATTCCAACCTCAGCTTTGTCAGAGATGTGTAAAGAGATGTTATGATGACATAAGCATTTACACATAAGAAAACCAAACAGGATCCAGAACCTATCCTTGTAGTATTCCACATTTGATGTCATTATTAGGTATGAGCGAGTACAAAATGATCTGTATCCATAAACCGGAAGGAATAAGCAAAAATAAGTTGTCAATTTAGGCCTGATATTGATAGGAGTTGATCAGCTATATTTATTAGAAAACTATTTACAGATCCGCCTCAGAATTGATTTTCCGAGCAATGTTTTTGAGCTTCTTAGTGCTTCTAATGGCATTTGCAAGAACCCACCATGCCCGAATGACAACAACCAATCAGAGCTGAGAAAGACACTAGTTGATTGTGGAATCTGATTCCCAGCTCTTAAAATACCAATAACCTCAGCAATTAATTATCTTTCTCGGCTCTGAAAATGCCATTAGGAGCACTAGGAGAAGTCAGAGTAACCTGATTTTTTTTCACAGATTATCTGTCTCACGTACTACTGTCAGGATATAGTGAAAGTTTCAGCAAATAAGGCTTTTTTTTTTTAAATAAATGTTACCTACTGCAGCTTTAATATGTCTATGCCTTTCCAACTTCATACATTATGCAAATGATGTGATATATTGCTGTTGAAATAAAGCTTTGGTTGATGACAAAAATACACATTTGGTGTTTAAAATAAGCTACATTTTATTTTTTTAAATTACACTGATTAATTTATCATTAACATTACCAATGATCGATTAAGGAAAGAGCTTACAATTTGCAGCCCTACTGTCCATGATACAGTACGATACGATATTCATAGGGACTGTTCACACAGGGTGAAAAGTACAATGTTTTGAATGAAGTATAGTATGCATTTAACTACTCTATGCCTGAAATCAGCCATGGTGCCTGAGACTGTTAATGAGGAGAGTAGCATAAAAGAAATAGCATTCACCTGCACTGCACTGGGTGGAGGCAGACATCTCACAACCTACCACTGGAGGTGAGAAAATCTGTTCATTTTAAAAGTTGAAATAAGACACTGTCAGCTTTATCCATCATGCTGACACCAGACAGCGCTGACACACCTATTACCACATTTTGAACACATTTCTGAGCGGAGTTCGTGCTGAGCACCGGGGCCACATACCGGCCAGCGAGTCCCTGCTCTGTCGGTTGAGGAGGCGGACCCCGGGGAAGCGGCTGCTGATGGAACCCTCCGCTCCCTTCACTCTCTCCGCTCGGTACCTGACGACCTGCAGCTCCAGCAGTTTGATCTTCCTCCGCAGGAACTCGTTCTCCTTCTGGCTCCGGGACATTTCCAGATGAACCACCGAGTAGCCGTCGTCCACAACTTTACAAATCTCTGCGACGGCAGCGTTAGCTAGCACCTCCATGATGGAGGCAATTTGAGAATGGAAGTCCATGGCTATCGACGTTGTCATTGTCGACACTCGGCTTTGGACGGAAGAAACGTATTCAGTCCTAAAAAACAACACCGACAGTTCTAAAAAAAAAAACGTCGCACTGCTATCTGAAATGCATAACTAGCTAGCTGTGTGGAGCTGTGGAGTCTTTGTTGATATGATGGCTACACGGAAGCGATAATATTGACAGTATTTTTCCAGGAGGAACGATGAATACAGCGCAACAGCGCCCCCGGTGTTCAGGAGCGGACCTGTCCCACAGTACAGTACAACTTTATCCATATGGGGAGACTGGCTCGCTGCACCAGCGCAACGAAAACAAACACAGAAAGTAAAAGAAAGTGACTGCTGCAAATAAATACATAAATAGAAACTTCATCACTTCCTTCAACACTACATACATACATATATATGTATGTACATACCGCAAAACCGGTAACTGTGACCTTTCTCCCCAAAATTCAGAATTAGGATGATTAAAATCCAGTTTTGTTT